CTCGTAAGAAGTCGGCAAAAACGCAACGTGCAATAGTTGCACGCCGGCCAAGCCGGCGGAAGAAACGGCGTGGTTTTTGCCCGACGCGCCGTTTCTTGCCAGCCCCGTGAGTCATGCCGCATCTCGCGAACAGACAAAGCGCGGCAACGCACCCAAGAATGCCTGGCGATATGCCGGGAATGCGCGAGATATCGCTGGTGTCCAGAAAGAAACGAGAGAGTTCTTCGATATGGAAACTCCGTCGAAATATCAAAAGTGAATCCGGCCAGATTCGTATTTGTGTCAAAAGTATTCAGGTCGAAGTACCCAATTGTGTATCGTTAATTAATTACTGCTTTCCAGCAATAAGTGACACAGTAATGCAGTGACAAAATTCCTACAAATTCCTGCAGGACCTGAAATTCTATAACTCTTTCCTCATTTTCAGACAAAATTTCATAATTTTCTCTGACTTTTAACAATATTTGGAAATTTTTGTATTTTTGTCATGATTTAGAAATCGTTAAATGTTTTGTTAGATGTATAAATTATTATTAATGTTGCTTGCATTTGACTGTTAAATTAAAGTTAGTATTCCAAAACTGCATAGGTTGCATACCAAACTTCTTTAAGACCAAGAATTTTAATTTTTTAGAAAATCTCTGACCTTTCCCTATTTTCTCGAATTTTTCTTGATTTTCAATTTTGTGGTAACTCTAAGTAATCATTTCGTCTTTTGTTTAATAATGGCAAACAACAATATTTACAACAAGCTTGTAACGATTCACTACGCTGAATAAAAATTTTTCATTTGACAATTAATTTAATTCATCTTTATTTCTTCCGATGAAGAATGTTTATGTATTCAAGTTAAAACATATATTATACTTGACTTAAATACACTGAGAAAAATGTCTGGTTGAAAATTGTCAAATCAGATGATTTTGATTATATCATATATGTAAATCGGAATTCTGATTATCTCAACTAGAATTTTAGTAATCAGAAAATTCTGATTCGTTCATTTTTAACCACAATTTCAATTAATCCAACCGGATATTTTTCTCAGTATACACACGTTCTCAAATGAAAGAAATAAAAATAACTAAGTTAATTTAGTCAAATGAGCAATTTTTTTTCTCAGTACTATACTGTGTCATCTGTGTCTCTTACTGAAAAACACTCAACACGCTTCATGAGGTAAAAAATATCAAACACACATGGAAAAAAACAATTTTGCTAAAATATCTAAAATTTTAACTACACATAAATATAAAAATAATTTTGTTATATCATCAAAATAACTACGTAAAAAACTCAAGTATAATGAACAATACTACAAAAAAACAGTGCTAATTATGCTTGTGCATTTTAATATTCTGATGGAAAAATATTCGAAATAATTAATTTTAAGTGTCCTACACAATCACTTTAATAGCTTAACAAAATTATATTCAGATTTATATCTAGCTAAATTTTGAGATACTTCAGCAAAACTTTTCTTTCCAGGTAGTCTCAATACTCCGATATATCAATATCAATAATAAATCATTCCGTATGATATCAAATAATGATACCAATAAAAATATGTCCCGTAAATAAAATATTATACCTCTCTCTTTCGTTGAAATATATCTCGCGGGATAAAAATATTGTGTTTTTAATGAGTATGTTTTTGCTGTTTACTAATTATTTGCTTCACTTGCTCCCGCTTTGTCACGTTAATGTTGCTAGTAGAAACGGTAAACATTTCCAGCAAAAAAAGCGTCCAGGGGCGTTACACAGCATCGTGTTGTAATATACTACTTCTAATCATAGCTTCCATATGAAATTATATTCCATTGGTTTTAATGGTGTCACGCGACACACGGTGCAATTGCATTTTATTAAGGAGCTTCCACTGTACCGAAATCGTAACTCGATCATTCCGGTGAAGTAAACCTCCGGCAGAGCGGAGATGAAAATTCAGAAAATTACGAAGAAACAAATAACGACGACAAGAAGCTTCGCCTGGCCGAAAAGAATTTTCGATACAAGCGACATATCGAACTCGGTCGAGTGCTTTTTGTCGCGATGCACCGAGTTGGGCACCAAGTAAAACACCCGAAGTAGACGAAGACGAGAGCGCTCGGCCGCGGTTCGTCGAGATAGAAGAAGAAAAATCCTGTTTTTCTGCCGGGAGCTTTTTATCGCTGGCGTGACTCATCCAGTTTCTCGACGAAAGAGGGAGAGAAAGAGACGCACGCGCGCACATATATACATATATACCCACACATAAAAGCGAGATGGCCCATGGTAGCTCCTCGGTCGAAACTTCTTCGCTTCGCCGGGAGGTAACTGCTGGCGATTACGTTTCTTGCGTAAACTCGCCGGCGAGAGAGCAGCGTTCGCTATCGAGATGCGAGTCGCGCGCGCGGTTTAGAAACGAGCTCGCGGATATACGAGTGCGATAGCGGATCGATCTGCAAGAAACGAGAAAATAAACTGGCCTTTGGCGAGAATCCCTCATGTCAAAATCCAATGGCCTCCTCGCTTTCCTCGATAAATGAACCGGTAAATGCTTCCTACGCCTAGTCCGATACTTTCTGGATTACGATATTACTGTATTTATTATTATTTTTTGTAACATGGACTTTTTTACACGTTTATACCAAAGGTTACACCACAAAGAATTACTGAAATTTAAACTTTTTTATTTTTTTCGAAAAACTTTGTGTGTTAGAATAATTACAGAATACTTGAAGCTATTGTCGCGAAGAAGCGTAGGAATTTAATAAAAATAAGCACTTAAAGAACAGAATATCTCTAAATAAATTTAAGTAAAATGTAATCGAATTGACGCTTATTCAGCGATCATCAATGATAATAAAATTAACAATTGTGATTGTGGTTATAATTTATAATAAAATTAGACTCAAATAAGTCTAACCACGTCGTGATAGAAGAACCATTAATCAGAAATTAATTGCATTGATGCGACACAATCCTTAAAGTCATTATTAATAACTTCATAAATAACTTCATTAATGCATATAAAATATTTTGAAATAAATAGATTAAAGATTTAAATAAGTATGATACATTTATTATGCAGGTATTAGTAAAACTAATGTTGATAAAAATGATCTATAATCGTGAGAATTCAAACTAGTATTCTATTTATAATTTTACGTGTCGCAATATGGAAAACAATTCAAGAAATAAAAATATACACACACGTATCAAAAAATGGAATTATAATTAAAAATTATAGAGATGCGTCGAATTTCTATCTTAAGAATTGATGCGAATTATTAGATCATCTAACTTGAGCCGCAATTATCGAGAATAACGTTTATATTTGCGATGCGCACGATCGAAAATTATGGGCTGGATGTAATTAACGAGCGATTTCATACCTATCGGTTCGCATGAAATCGATCAGACACCCTGATTCATTTCATAAATCGGCCATAAATCCGTACACGTTACGCGTGTTCGTTATACTCTCTCGCGGATGGTACCAATATTAAACAAGCTTTATTTCGTCAATGGATCAGCTGATTGTAGAGCGCAGCAGGATAACCACCGGCTCTCCTTCGTCAACTTTGGTAAAATATTGAAGCGAGAGAAGAGTAGTGCTGTTTGGAGCACTGCTCTTTGTATTTGGAGCATGCAAAAAATTAACGCACTTCTTACTGTATTTTAGTCTGCGTATGTAAACCATCTTCCCTCGTGGACCGTTCAGGTTTATGGGGGCTTTAATGGGTGAATTTTACTCTTAAATCGATTCTTGACGGTTAAAGACATTATCCGAAAGATTAACGGTGTTATTCGAACTGGAACTAATGCAGTAACGGGATAATATAAGCACTCATTAATTTCCAGAGAAAAAAATGTGAAAAGAAGACAGAAGTAGAAATATAAGATACTTAGAAATGATTGTACAGAGACAGATAAGTTTTTGACTAAATAACTTTTGTACATAAAAACAGATGAGAAATATAATAAATGTGATTTATAAAATATTCAATTTTTTTTTTCATTGTAATTCAAAAGGATACATTTTACAAATTAAAAATTCAAAGTATTTTATATTATTACAATCCTCTTATCAATTGCTCGTTCAATCATTCGAAAATGAAAGTATATTAAATCTTTTAACTTGAAACTACAGAATTAATTTTTACTTATGTAATAAAATGTGTCTTTAAAGACATTAGTTGCTTTCCATTTACATCGAAATGCAGAGATAATTCTCATTTGTGACATCATCATGACTTCAACTGAGTTTTTACCTACAATCTGTACAAACTGATGTGCTTTACCGAGCCTTGTTAACTCACATTAAAAGTCAGATTACAAACGTTGATTACCCATGTTGTTGTTATGCGATTGGCTAATATCAGCAGAAAAAGCAGCTTTGAAACTGTTCTAAGATTCTTTAACATGATTGACCTATACACCTAGGCCGGTATTCACAGTCAGATCTTATATTTAAGACCGTCTTAAAACATTACTTAAGACGGTCTCGAAATAAGAACTGACTATCAATACCGGCCTTAGATCCAGTGAATTAAAAGCAAGACCAATCATATTAAAGAATTTTACAACAGTTGCAAAGATGGTATTTTGCTGAACGCGATCCTTATCATCGAAGTAAGGAAGTAATGACGTCATTATCTAAATATAAATTATTTACATAACTTTAGACTACTATTACTTGTGAAAATGGAAAGCAACTAATATACCTATCTTTATTTTTCGCTTTAAATTACACGCAAAGATTTGAAAAGATGCGATTAAAATTCAAATTCTCTTTGCCTGAATTATCAAGTAATTAATTTAATTTAACTTAATTTATCGTGTATATACAAAAAATAATAGTTAATATTTGCGTTGTGAATTTCAATTAATCGTATATAAAAAAAGAATGTGTGTGCAATACAAAAGTCTCTTTAGCGTTAAATTATTAAGTATGTAGATGTATCTACAGTTTTCGATTCCTGATCGCAAAGTATATAATTTTCCAAGCAACTTACACGTGCCGTTGACATTCCTGCTGAGTATCCTGGGCACAGCGGTGACCGGTGGTACACCGGTCGGCTGC